ATGCCAGGGCTATATTCTTTTCCCATACTTATTCAATCTGTATTCTGAGCACATAATGAGAGAAACTGGGTGATATGAAGAGCAACATGGCATCAGGATTGGAGGAAGACTCATTAACCTGTGATATGCAGATCATTCAGCTTTGTTGAAAGTGAAGAGGATTTTTAAAATACTTATTGATGAAGATCAAAGGTGACAACCATCAATATATGTTACCCCTCAATGTAAAGAAAACAAAAATACTCACCGCTGGACCAGTAAATAACATTATGATAAGTAGAGAAAAGATTGAAGTTGTCAAAGATTTCATTTTGTTTGGATCCTTTATCAGCATTCATGGAAGCAGCAGTCACGAAATCAAATCATGTATTGCATTCAGCAAATCTGTTGCACAAGGCTTCTTCAAAGTGTTCAAGAGCAGAGATGTCAGTTTGACAACTGAATTATACCTGCCCCGAGCCTCAGATGCAAGTGAAAGTTGGACAATGAATAAGCAAGACCATAGAAGAACTGATGCATTTGAGTTATGGTATTGGTGAAGAATATTAAAAGTACCAGGGACTGTCAGAACAAACAAATCTGTGTTGGAAGAAGTACAGTCAGAATGCTCCTTAGAAGCCAAGATGGCCAGACTTCGTCTCTCATCCCTTGGACATAGTCTCAGGAGAGACCAGTGCCTGGAGAATGACATCATGCTTGGTAAAATGGAGGATCAGTGAAAAGGAGATGAATTGGCGCAGTGGCAACAGCATTGGGTTCAAGCGTAACGATGACTGTGAGGATGGTACAGGACCGGGCTGTATTTAGCTCTGTTGTGCTTAGTGTCGCTATTTGTCGGAACTAACTTGATGACAACTAACATCAATCACATGTTGTTATTGTTAGGGGCTATCAAGTTGCTTCTGACTCAGAGCAACATTGTTGCGGCTTTACATCATCAGTCCATCTCATTGAGGGCCCTCTACCCAGAATGATGGTCTTCTCCAGGGACTGGTCCTTCAGGATAACAAGTCCTCAGTCTTTGAGGTGAAGTCTTGCCGCTCTCACATCTAATGAGTATTATGCATGTACTTTTTCAAAGGCAAATTTGTCCTGGCAGCTCCTGGCCTATTCAGTATTCTTTGCCAACACCGTAACTGAAATGCATCAGTCCTCCAGTCGGCCTTATTCATTGTCCAGCTTACACTTGCATGTGAGGCAGTTGAAAATACCGTGGTTTGGGTGAAGCGCACCTTACTCCTCAAGGTGTCATCTTTGATTTTTAACACTTTACAGAGGTCTTTTGCTCTGCATACAATCTCCAGCTCCTTAGATTCCTAACTCAGCATGCAGGTTGAGTAAGTATGGTGAAAAGGTACAACTCTGATGCACACCTTTTCTGATTTTAAGCCTTGTGGTATCCCCTTGTTCTATTTGAACGACTGTCCCTTGGCCCATATACTGGTTCCTCATGACTACAATGAAGCGTTCCGGAATACCCATTCTTTGCAATATTGTTCATGATTTGTTGGGATCCACACAGCCCAATGCCTTTGCATAGTCATTAAAAGGTGTGAAACGAAACTAGCATTCGACACATTTGTTTTGCAGTAAGTCATTAAAGAGGCAGCACGCACCCTGAGTGGCTGTCGGTGGCCATGCTGAGCTCCTTCCTGGGGAAACCACATTCAGCATATGTGCGTGGAGCTGCCATAGCTTTGAATGGTACCTGTGAACACTATTCATTAGTGTGATTTCAGTTTTGTTGTATTATTTGGTTCTTTTATGAACCTGGAAACACTCAAATTTTTTTCCATACAAAATAACGGTAATTACTGCTTTGTTTTCTGCCATTTCCAGTTAAGAAAGGTTTCATAGGTACATTCTACTTGCAGATAGCATGGCAAACCTGTTGCTCCTGCCAAACTGCTCTCCAGATAGCTTTTGCCAGTGCTACCCAGCCAAGACATGTGAGGGGCTTTCTTCCAGTATCGGAGATGGTCCGCCTTTTAGCTAGTCCAGTGGATGAAATGTGGCTGCACTTTGTTGATCATTTTAAGTGGAGTTGAGCATCTCTATAAGGTGGTCATTTCTGGTTTCCTGGGCTGGTCTGAACTATGTGACTATTCTTATGTCTTGACAGACATTGAGCAATCACTGTCTCCAATAGCGGCCACATCTCAAAGCTCAAACTTGCCGCACAAATGACTGTCCTGTGGACTATGTCCCAGTCCCTTGGCTCTAAGATAAGCGTCCCTTGGCTGTTGGGTGTCCCATGCAGTGAAATATTCACATTTCCTCTTTTCTTTCCACACATGTGGCTGGACAGATAGCGAATTCCTTACCTCATCTGAAGAGGGAGAGGCGGAAGAAGAGATGGAGTCTGTGGATAAAATATCAGGTGTGGTACTGGGGGGTGGGGGTGCTAGGGAGGAATAGAGCTAAGAAAGCATCCCCCAGAAAGTAGAACTCAGTACACCAGACTGGGGCTCAGACTGGCACACAGTGCAGATGGACAGCGGGGTTTCTTAAACTGACAGAAGCCTGAAGACAAGCATTCTTGTTTCTGGCTCACACAACTCCTCACAGAGCACGTGGCTTTCCAGTCTGCAACCTCCAGATGCAACTTTGGTTTTGACAGTCTCCAAGGCACAATACTTTGGAAAATGAATTTATTAATAGTAAATGTAAAGTTAACCATATTAAAGTCAACAATTAAGTAGCATCGATGACATTCAGTCTTGTGCAGCCATTACCCTGGTTGTCTGCTCCTCAAACCTTTCTACCCCTTATAAGTAAAGCGCCCCCCCCGACTCCCCTTCAGTAGTGGCTCCCCATTCCACGTCCTGTGTGGTGAGGAGAGGCGCCAGGTAGCACGATGGTTTGCTCTTGGCTTCTAGTCTAAAGGCTGGCAGTTTGAGTCCACTCAGCAGCAGTGCCATGGAGGAAAAGCCTGGCTGTCTGCTTTGGTAAAGAATGCAGCCAAGAAAACCCCACAGGGCAGATCCAATGCGTAACAATACCTGGGGTCTCTGTGAGTTGGAATCGGGCTCAATGGCAGTGGGGTATTTTGGCTTCATAGGTGGGAGCCTCACATTCACACATGTGCCTGGTAGATTTCTGATTGAGGGTGCATCGAAAATACAATTCTCAGCGCATGTAAGTCAAAGTTCATTAGCATCCAGTTGTAAAAATGTACCTGCGTTCCTCCTTAACGTCCCTGTCAAATGAAGTGTGCTGTTGTACAAAATGTGGGTCTGGTTAATGTGGTAGGATGCTTATTCTTTTATTATTTTTTCATCTTACTCCCCAAATCATGGTTGGCTTGTTTTTTCCTTGAAATTTTCTTTATTTTGGTAGTGCTGAGCAAACACTATTCACACATTCTGTAGTTTCTACATCTACAGTCCAGCAACATGGATTATTCTCTTAGAGTTGTGCAAGTGTCCTCCCCTTCCCCTTCTAAGTTGCTCCTCCCTCGTCACATAAACTCACTGCCCAGTCCCTTGAGTTGCTGCTGTCCGTTTGATCCCATATAGATAGTTCTTGAAAGAGCAGACATTTTTACTAGTTAAGCTATCATTCAGTTTAAAGAAGACTTCTGGGATATTTTTGGTTTAAGGTTTAAAGGTTATGTCAGGGCAATAGTTTCAGAGGTTTATGTTCTTTTGTTTAACTTTTATAAAATGGTACCAACCGTTCTTCCCCAAATCATGTTTTGCAGCTAAGAATGTGTATCTGAGAAACTATTCCACCTCTCAGCCTGCAAACATCACAGAGGACGGAAACACTTTCAAAGAAATGATAGAAAAGCTACCTGTCAAGGTAGGCCTGGGCCTTTCCCCTCCTTATTGGGTTATGGGAACCTAGGTCCTGGTGATGCATCAGATCCCAGTCTGTGTTGGGGGTGTCCAGGGCCACTCTCAGCTTTGACCTAGAAACCCTCCTATACTGCCTCCTATACAGCCAAAGGTACAGATTAGATAGACTCAGCAAAGAAGGATCCAGGAGAGACCTGGGGGGCGGGGTCCAGGAGGGCCCAGGCATGAGCATCCAGTTATCCTCTCCAGTGGAATCATGGGACGGCACTGAGTCTCCCAGTAATGAGCTATGACAACATGTATGAAGCACTGCCAGCCAGGACAGCTCAGCTGAGCCTTGGTGTATTGGGCTGTGGTTTGGGGGTCCACAGTCACATAGACGTGGAGTGCCAAGGAATGCAGTGTGATTAGCCTTCGTTACCCTATCTTCTGGCACCCCGAGGTCAAACTGACACAGCTTGGCTTGTGATTTAAGGGGAACGAAAGTAGGTGTTCACTGTAAATCACGTTGTTAGCATAGACTACCTGGTGTGGCCCTAGGTTCCAGGTAAACAAAGTCACCCTGTTAAAATTGTATTTTATTGTGTTCTTGGTGAAGGCATACAGTTTAAGTTCCCACCCAACAATGTCTCCGGAAGTTGTTCAGTGGCACCGACTGCCTTTTTACTAGGTGCGAACATTGTCATTAGGTTCGTCCTCGCTGTTCCGTTTCCCCGCCCCTTTCTCGTCTTGGTTCTGAAGTCCTAGTTGACTGGTAGAGTCCTTCTTATCAGACAGGATATTCCAAGGCCTTGGAGGGGTCACTGAGGAGTCAGCCGAGGACCAGTCGTGAGCATGTTTGGCACGTGCAGGGTTTGGACAACCCTGGGTGGCTGAGTTAACCCTTTACTGCACACATCCCAAGGGTGGTGCTTAAAGCCAGGATGTAAGCATCAGCCTGCCTTTGGCTGAATGAAACGACACGTCATGCTCCAAATTCCATTCAAGCCTAGTCTGTTGCAACTTCTAGGTTTGCAAAGCTCTGTCCAGACTTTTACCGGGGTGTTTGGTTCGAGTGTCCGGAGCCTGGGGGGTGCATTTGAGCTCGTGTGTTGTATGGCTGGGGCTGTGTTGTTGGGCAGTGATGGGGACGTGCCTGGGAGGCTCTCCAGGTAGATGGACGTATGGCCACATGACGGTTCTTTGTTCTCCATGTTGCAGAAAATTGTCAGACACATCATAGAGACGGTCCACCTCCATGTGCTCTGTACACCTGTTCCTGAGGAGTTTCTGGACCAGAATGTGCTGTTTTTCCTCAGAAATACCAAAGGTATCTGCCCCGGGGGCTGTGTGAGTCTGCATGTGAGAGAGTCTTTTTTTTCTCTTTTTGCATTATATGAGACTATCACTTTCATTATTCTGTTATTTTAATATGGGGAGTGTGTTGGCTCCATGTGATAAGCACTGGACTGTGAACCATAAGTTCCACGGTTCGAGCCCGTCAGCCACTCCTTGGGAGATAGATGAGACTTTCTGCTCCGCAAATATTTGAAGCCTCAGAAACCTTATACAGGGTCGCTATGAGTTAGAACCAAATGGATGGGAGGGCACATTAACAACAATGTTTATAGTATGGAACACTGTATTATTATTTTATGACTATATGACAGTTAGTTATTGTTGTTAAGTGCCATGGAGTGGATTCTGACCTGTAGTGACCTTGTGTAGGGTTTCCAAGGAGCAGCTGGTGACCTTGACCCCTCTACCTTGTAGTTCAAACTGATTTTGCGGTCCAACGCATTAGCCCACAGAGCTATCCCAGGATTCCATACCAATTAGAGGAAGCTTCAAAAATGACAAGACGCCACGTTCAAAGATGAACTTTGAGGGACTTTTTCTGCCTGACTGGGCAATTGAAAACACAGGTGCCGCTCAGAAGAAACCAGGTTTGGGCTGCAGTTTGGGGACATGGCCCCACTGTGTGTCCCGCTGCAGGCTGTCATTCCATGAATGCTGCTCCCCTTGCCCTGTCCACCTCCTGGCCCCTCCTGCCCTGCTACACCCGCTGCTCTTCACTGTCTCTAGCTGCCCTTGTGGCCCCGCCCCCCATGCCACAGAGGGTGTGTCTACCATGCCTTAGAACACACCTGGAATTCCTGAACAAGTATTGTTTTATCCATGCTGCTGAATTTGTTCCCTGTTCACATTGGGCCAGAGCCTTACCATTAAGCTTTGAATTGTGCTCTAACTAGTTCCCTGCAGTGTGTGGGACCAGTCGGGGCGGTATGAAACAGCCTGCCATGCCGTCTTCCTCTCATTGTTCTCTCTCCCAGGAGCCACGTGGTCTTCTTCGTTTCCTAGGGCAGCCACGCCAAAGGACCACTTAGTAGTCAACTTAGAGCAACAGAAGTGTATTGTCTCAGAGTCCTGGAGGCCAGGAATCCCAAGTCAGGTGTCGGCAGGGCCATATTCTCTCTGAAGGCTTGAGGGCGAGATCCTTCCTGTCTGGCTCCGATCCTGCCAGCCCCAGGTGTTTATTGGCTTGTAGCTGCCTTGCCACATGGCAGGCCTTCTGTTGGAAGAACACCTGTCAGATTGGCTCGGGACCTACCCTGTTCCAATCTGATCTTCTTGTGTAACCAGACTGGTGACATCTACAGAGAGAGGGTCATGTTCACAGGTAGCAGGGTTTAGGGGCTTAACAGATCTGTTTGGAGAACACAGTTCAGTCCATCACACACATCTTTAATAACAAAAATAACCCATGTGCCTCCAGTCGACTCTAAGTCACGCGACCCTGTGTGTGTCAGAGTAGGACTGTGCTTCATAGAGTTTGGAATAGCTGATTTTTCAGAGGCAGATAATCACACCGTTCTTCTGATGCACCTTTGGGTCGACTTGAATGTCCAACCTTTTATTTATCACTTGAGCACATTAACTGTCTACAATACCCAGGGATTCTTTGTTGTTGTTGTTAAGTGCAGTTGTTTCTGACTCATAGTGACTCTGTCTAGGGTTTCTGAAGAGTGCCTGGTGAGCTTGAACCGCTGACCTTGCGGTTCAAAGCAACCTTGCAGTCCAGCGCATTACCCTGCAGCGCTATATCAGGACTCCACCAGTGAGTCTCATACTTGCTAATTCCTCTTTAGAACCTTATGTAGAACAACACACATGTAGATCTTCCGCTGGGCCACAGTGCTGTCTAGTCTGAGTTTTATACTGTTCAGTTTCACCGCTTTGATTTTTCTATGACTCTGGAGTGGCGCTGTGGGTTAATACACTGTACTGTAAAGTCGTTTGAACTGCAAGGTTGGCACCTCAGAAAACCCTATACGGGGTCGCTATGGGTTGGGACTGACTTGG